GAGTAGGTCTTTGATCGCCCTTCTCTTCCTTGCACTCCCTAACCCTCTTACATTCCAGCTAATAATTTTCATCGATACAAAACAGCAAAGGACCCAATAAGAGGCCATATTCTCCTCAGGTTTTTTTCTTATTTGTTCCTCTTCCCCCCCCCCCCTAATACACCCCCCCCCCTTCCCAATTTCTCCATCCTTTCCAGCCAATTTTTGTCATCCACCCTCTTAACATACAAGGTGTTATCCATTTGACACTATTAAAGACCCACATGTTGTACTGCCTTACTAAATTTCCCAAACCATGCTCAAAGAGATTGTTTTAGTCCATAAAAAGACTCCTTCAATAAGCAGACCTCCTCACTACCTCAACCTAGATTCCTAGTGGTTGTACTTATACCATGTAAACTTCTTCTTCAAGATCCTCATTTAAGAAGGCATTCTTTATCTAGTTGATGAAAAGGTCAATCAAAGTGTGCAGCAAGAGACAACAACACTCATATTGAGCTCATATTACCAATGGGGACGAAGGTTTCCTTATAATCCACTCCATATAACTGTGAGAAGCCTTTAGATACAAGTCTAGTTTTATACCTCTCTATGGACCTGTCTACCCAATGTTTGACAAAGAATACCCATTTACATACAACTAGGTTCTTTCCCATTGGAAGATCAACTAATTCCCATGTATGATTCTTGTGTGGGGCACTTACTTCTTCTAGCATGGCACTATTCCACTCAAGTAATTGTTTAGCCTCTTCAACATTTTTAGGAATGAAAACACTACCAATAAAAAACGTAAGCATGATAGGATAGGAATAGACTAGCACAAGTTGTAAAATAAGCAAATAGAATGTTTAGTACAAGAATGAACACTCTTACAAATTGCAATAGGTAAGTCAAGATCATTGAAGTCACTTGGTAGAAAAGAAGATCAAGATCATTCTGGTCACTTAGTAATATTACTTATGGTTATGAAAAGAAGATTCATGGGAAGATTAGGAACATGACGAACATGAATAAACTGCATAACAAAGGGGAGAGATATGGTTCTTTGACCAGCTATGGAGAAGAGAGATCTATTAGATAGTGTATGCCCTTAGCTCCAAACAAATTGATGTACAGATACATTATTGTAAATGAATAAAATTACATTATTGTTTCATGTTGATATTGGTATATTTCTATGTAATTACCCCTTAGACTAGACACTTATGAGACTCGTGTTAGCTTACAATGTTCTCAACCGTTGGATAGACTTGAGGAGTTTATCCCGCCAAGACTGACACTGATGTGTTGTCAAAGAAGTGGGGGCAGCTTGTCTCAGCTGCTAGGGTTAGACCCGAAGCACATGCAATGTGCGTTTGGATGAAACACTAAGCCCGTACCACTTTCTAGTTATGCCCTAGACCTTGGAGACTGATGGGAAAAACTGGAAAGTTACACATAACCCCTAGACTTGATTATGGTACTACACTAAGTGTGGATTGGGTTGTCTTTGATAAGTCAATCAGTGAGATCCATCAAGGGTCAAAAGCTGGGTATGTTGGGGCAATCTGAGAATTCATCTGAGTGGGTGATCATAGTGATAGGATCGGCCCCTTTGTCGGGCAAAGTGAATGATAGGGCTTACACTCTCTCTGATGGAAACCTAAAGTGTCGGTAGTGGATTTCAATTGTGTTTGAGATTTGGTTTTGCAAAATATATTTATATGATATATATTATATTTTATGAAAAATGTTTGCAAAAGGTTTAATTCTCGGGATCCATCTAAACAAAGAGTGTGACACTGTATCTTGCAGCCAGGGGAGAGGTCCTTCCCTGTCGGGTAGTGTTGTGATCATTATGGGTCAAGAGGTTAAGTGTAAGAGACCATTAAGGGCTGATTACCTGATAAGTTTTATCTTACTTAAATCCATTATCCTTGGGTCTTCATAGGATGGCTGAATTCAATGATCATTTAAGTGTAAATGTTGGGCCTATATTGAGTCAATAGTGATGTGTTCAGGGTTCCACTGCATTTAGCAGTGAATTCAGCCAAGCCTTTTCACAGAGGCTGGGCCAAACCCATGTAGACTTATGTGAGGTCATTGTGGGGTCCCACGCCATACAAATCAGGCCTAAGTTGGCCATGCAACATCTCGAGTCGTGAGCCTTTGAAGGAAATGGGCCTAAGGCCCATAATTAATAAGATTAAGTAAGTTGTCATGTGCAAGGTTCAAAGTATCGACATAGGGTGTATCAGCCTACATCGGTACTTTTTTTAAGTTTTATTTTTTTCAAAACCGGTTCAAAGGGGTCGGTTTAAGGCCTGGCTACCCTCTGAACCATGGTCTGACCCGATACAACCCCTGGAGGGGCGTATCGGGAAGCCATCGGCATGATACGTATCGGTAGATACAGGTCGAAATGTGTCGATACTTTGAACCTTGGTCATGTGCTCTAGGTCAAACCTGGGTTTGGAAATGGGTATGGAGCACCCATCATCTTAAGAGGATAAGGCTTATCTCTTGATAGAGTCCAGATCCAAATTTGATTTGGATAATCTCCTAATTTGATTGGGAGAGTGCTCCATAAGGAGATAAAAGAAGAAGGCAAATCAGACTAAAACACCACTTTCTCTTGTTCTCGCTTCTTCTCTTTTGTCTTCCAAAAAACCCTATCACGACCTAGGCTTTCAAGGACTGATAGAGATCAGTTTTCTTCTGATTTTTGCAAAAAAAATCAGAGGAATTTCAGGATCACCTTCCCTAATTCGATCCAATCAGTTGGGTTGCAGTTTTGTTGAAAATGTTGTTGAATCAGCTTCCTGAATACACTACGCCATCTTCAGTGGAGACTGGTTTGGGACTGATTTGGGCGTGAACTTCCACCTTGGGATCTGCATTTGTGGTGTCCATATCAGGTATAAATCTCCCTCTTTGATTGATTTCAAATCTAGTCTAGTTCAGTGCAAGACTGATCCTGAAAAATGTAGTTTTTCAAAACATAGGGAATTCAATTCCCAGAAGGATTAGGACATTTTTGAAATTTTGCCCAGCCATCTAGCATGGTCCGGTCATCCATATGATGGATCCTAACCCTTCCAACAAGATCCATCACTAATCTCACCTTATCTCTTCCAAACAATAAGGAGTAGGAAAAAAAAGGGGTGGACTTACCAGTCATATGATTGGATTCTCCTAAATCAATGATCCAAGAAGCCTCAAATCTGTGGCAAGAAATGCTCTGTTACCATGTTCACTACCATAGAAGAGAGCTACTCGATAGAAGAGAGAAAAGAGAAGTGTTGGATGAGCAAAAAGGTGTGTGGCAACTGCTCACACTATCTTATTTAAATAGGGCAAAACATAATGAAGAGTACAATGACTAAAATACCCCTACACCTAAAATATAAGAATCTAACAATAATGATGCATGTGATACACAAAACACCCAAAAAAAACCATGATAGTTAGGATCTTGGGTAGCCTTACTTTTTGTTTTTTCTAGTCCTATGGGATTTTATCTTCCTTCTTTTCCTATTATGCAATAGGCAAAGAGACCCCAGGCATTCACCTCCTTTTGTCCATCTCATAATAGTAGTAAATAAAGATAATAATGGCCTGAATTCACCAAGAAAGTGTTATATCTTCTATGGGCTCTTTCTAAACCCTTTGTCATTTAATGCATTTGGCTAAGCCCTAGTCAATTACTAGAGAGAAAATTTCTTGGTAGTGCCCCCCAATCCCCACATCTAAGTAGAAAAGCCATTACCTCTTCCTTGGAGAAATCTGTCTCTTCTAGTGGGCTCACTAATGACCAAATTCTATTGCCACCTCCCTCTAGTGTGCTACCTCCTATCAAACAATTGATGAGACATAAATCTCAGTCTAACCTCTACAAAGTCAACCTAGAATATGCCCTTTTAAGGAAGATGGGAAGCAGAAATCATTGAGAAATTTCATCCCATCTCACTACATCTGATTTGTATGAATTCCTTAGTCAAGGCTGTCAAGATTAGTGATAATACAATTCTATCCTAGATGGCTGCAGGAGAGGAGAAATTCCCTTGTAATATCCTTTTTTTTCTGCACCTCTTAAAAACCACAAATAACCATGTGTGACATTCCTCTCTAAGGCCACTTGTTATATACCCAAAACAGGTTATCACCATTGTCACAGGAAATCTGTACATTCAAAGAAGCAACCCTTGCAATACCCAACAAGTTATGAAAGTAGTTCCATAAGATAGGATGGCAAGAGAATCAGATACCTCTTTTGTGAACCAGCTTCTTTTCTATTGCAGTTATGCAAATCATATATCTCTCATTTTATGAGTCATAATCTCATCAATAAGGTTAATTCTTTCAATTCTGCTACCTTCTGTTCATCCTGTGTTGACTTGGGAAAGAAAGATATAAAAATTTTAAAGCAAATCTAAGAATTTGGAGCCATTATTTGAAAATATCACAAAAGGCTCTACTTCTAGTCTATCTGATAGAGAAGTTCTGCAGAATGAGCAACAATTACTTGCATCTGGTTGATATAACATTGAATATGAATCATACCGGAGCTTCCTCCCTCTATGTTGCCATCTCAAATCTCAGCACTGAAAGCTTTATTATTTTATTTTAATTCCGTTGGCCCTTACAATTCTATATTGTTATATGTGATTAATAAATAAATGTTGTAGCTTGGATAATTTAGACATGAGAAAATGATCGGTTATCACCATGAATGTCAAACAGTTATTATATTCCCAAATACACACATATAAATCAACACAGTTTTCAAGCCAATTTTTCCCCAAGAAAAATCTATTCATGATTTAGATGTACATCACTAGCTAAACACCTTCCTAAAGGATACCTACATATATTAAAGGAAAGTTATGTAAATGCTTCAATGTGAAAACAACATTAGAAACTAAAGGTACAATAAATAACACCTTAGGAAAAACTTGATCAACAACTTGGAGAGCACGCCTTGAGTTCCAACCACTGTATCCTCGCACCAATATGTCTGCCTATATAATATTAGAAACAAATGTTAGTTGCTCCAACAATAAGTATATTAAAAGGAAACAAATGCCAACTTTTGTGTTTATTATGTTTCACTAAGAAAGGAAAAAAGAAAAAGTTGTGCAAGATTCATAAAAAAAAGGTTGTGCAAGGCAAAGCTACAGTAAACATCATTCATTCATCAACCAATTAATAGAGGTAGTTCACATTCAACCATTCAAGGTCTAAAGTTTTAACTGGATGTGACTCGGTTTAGTAATCTTACTTTCAGAAGTCTAACAAAAGCAACCCCATAACGTGGTTAACCCCAATCATGGTAAATAATTAATCAGTTTAAATGCAGAACAAAAACTAACTGCAGCATTTAAGAGACTGATCCAGGATGCTCTTAAGAGACCCTCAGCCCAAAAAGAACATTCCAGAGAACTTTCAAATAGAAAAGGCCAATTAAACATTTTAAAGGAATTCCCTCTGTCACCAAGTCGGAGAAAAAAGACAAGGCCAACCATCAACCGCATTACACGCAAAGTGAAATTTCCCTGCATGAAACATTTTTAAAGGAAATGATACCTAACTTTCAAATATTTGTAAATTAGCAAAACTGCTTGTATCAACAAGCAAGCCAATTAAACAACGGACCGGTTGGATAAGATGGATTATGAACAATCTGAATTTGATCTTCTACGCAAACCTAATGGAGTGTTGATGATATGTGCAGTATTCAACTTTTCTAGGTTCCAGAATCACTTTTCAAAAATTTCAACGAGACAAAAAAAATGAAGGCCAAAGAAAAATGCGGCATTCACATAGAAAAAATCAACAATTATATCCATCCTGCTCAACTTACGAGAGGAATTCGAATCGCGTACAGCATTTATCAAAGAGTTGGTACTTGTCAATTCGCCCAGCGAAAAGGAAAATGTAATCTAAAGCTCAAGATAACAGAACGCATTTTTACAGGAGGTACTGGGGATCTACCATTCAAGGAACTTAGATTTCCCTTCATCGTCGGGGTTATTAGATGAAAAATTATGGAACGATACGGCAATAACGAATTTAATGGTGAGATTTCCTTCTTCTTCCTTTTTTTGTTGGAAACTTTGGAATTATTTTGGAGCCTATCAATCAAGCATTAGTTATCAACTAAGAGCTGAGTCAGAGACACGGTGATAAGCAACTTCCATGAGATAGAGACAGATTTTAAAAGAAGATGAAGAAGAAGAGGAAGAAGGGTACTTTTCGAGCATAGATGTCAGCGAGAATGGCGCCCCATCCACCATTGGCAAAACTGAACTGAACGATGGAGGAGCCGAACAACACGAACTGAGGCCGTGGTGGTCCGACCATCTCTCTCTCTCTGTCTCTCTCTCTCTCTCTCTCTCTCGTACCAGTAGTTTTCTCCTAGCTTCCAAACTGCCAACTTCTAAGTTCTAACCGAGTTAGTCGTCCGCCTCTCAACGACGAAATAAATAAAAGGGCCGAGTGTCTGGGGTCACCATGTGTTGACAGGGAATATGTCAAAACTCCTCGAAAATTTTAACATGCCAGTTCAGTTCAGAGTTCAGAAACGCAAGAGGATAGAATAGGAAAATGAGGGGCAGCCCTCCGCCCCTCGGTCACCCGTCGTCCGACGTAGCCAAAAGTTTAGCCACGTGTTAAATCATAACCGTTGGCTAAAAAATCACACACCCAACCTTCTCTAGTCAGAAAAAATCCACCTATCCTTCTCAGCCACGTGTTGTCCCAGTTTTACAACAGGTTTTAATTTGTGGAGTCCTCTAAGTGGATCCAAAATTTAATATGATGTTCTAATTTGCCACGTGGCTTTGAATTGGCCATGTTATTTCATGAGTGATGCGTAACCTTATTAAACTTTGAAGAAGTATCTAAAGTTTACCATTATGTTGACACTGACAGGGATCGTGTCGGTTTTTTTCTCTGCAACGGGGATCATGTCAACCCCTTTTATCTTTGGGATCTTTTTGGTTTTTGCACTTTTCAGGTCAAATAATTAAGGCAGGGGGACGTGGAAAAGGTGGTTACAGACTAATTACAGTCCATCCATCGTGCCACTTTCAAATTTGAACAAATTCTTAAGCCAAGCCAAGCCCTCCAACGGCCAAAGTTGCACTTCTTTGTTAATGATTCTTTTAACTTTTTTTTAATTATTAAAATGGAAAAATCAATGATGCAGAAAAGATATGATATGGAAAGAGTCTTGACCAATCAAAACCAACGCATGAATTTTGATAAATAATATCTTATTTATTATTACGTTTGTGATTTCAGTTTATTGTTCTCGATACCATATCTTTTTCATATCATAGTTAAATCCTATTAAAATATATAAATAATTTTGTTTGTTTTTTTTTATTTGGTGATATGCCTCTGATTCCCCATAGGGGCTATTAAATAGCGCAGCACCACACTAATAACCCCCTCCCCAAATTGGTGGTAGCCCGAATCCACTCTATGTCTATGCTAAAATAAATCAGTTAATATATCAACTGAGCCACCTCTCGGTTGGCAATTTGGCATAAATAATTTTGTTAGTGTGATCTCTTTTTATAGTGTGATTCTGCCTGGAGAAAGGAGGAGGGTTACACCAATTTACAGTTGGCAATAAAACTTGGGAGAATGAAGGTTCAGTCCAGGGTCAGAATTTTTAGGCCTAAAGTATAATTGGGGAAGGTGTCAGTTTGGAATTGATGCTAATTTACGAGTGGGCATTGGTGTATAAAATAGGGATTTTTGACATTTTGAGTGTTTATAGATCTGTAGTGGAATTCAGAAATCTGCATTAAACCTGTCCATACTTTTCCGATAAAACCTTTACTCAATTCTCGAGATCACTTTATTCTAATTTGTCTCTTTACACTAAAATCAGAAGTAGCTAGAGAAGTGCACACGGGCTGATTATATTTACAAGGGAGTGCTTACAAGTTGCCCACCTAAAGAAAAGGGAAACTAAATTTGATGATGCCAAAGATAACATCAAGGTCAAAGTTGGAATTCCCAAAATTCTGAGGCCAAATTCACTTGTAAGAATAAGAATATAAATAATATAGAAGACCTTGGGATGTGCCTCAAGGGTGAGGATTCCGACAATCAAATCAGCTTAAGACTCAAGAAAGCCGAGGTGGTATGAATGCAAAAATAGTTAAGTGAGTTGGAAAGCATAAGAGAGGTAATTGAGACCTTGAGTCTAAATTTTGGTACGATGAGTTCTTAGTAACAGCTCCACACATTAGGTGCCATTAAGAGCGGGAACATCAAGGTGGTGACCACATAGTCAATCTTTACGCTGCCATAACTACATTGGAGGGGTTAACTTTGGTTGTTGGGGCTCAACAGCACAGGCTGTCCAGATAGTTTTTAGGCTGGGTACGTTTTGGGCAGTTCATCTATTCATGTTTTGGTTTTTAGTTAAAATAAATTAAGATGTAATTATTAATTTACCCATTCTCATGGTAATGTGACATTTCCAGAAATTCTCTCAACAGCATAGGTTGTTGGCCCCCAACAGCCAAAGTTTTTTCTACTAGAGGGGCTGGACTAAGGTCATATTAAGCATCCACATTAATCCAAGAGGGAAATGATGAGGATGCCCCCAAATAAGGGTGTCAATGGATCAGTTTTGGAGTGGACCCCGTCCAGTCCAAAATCAATTTAGACAGATTGAACAAACCAACAAGACATATTGGATTGGACCAATCTGATCCAAAAATATTTATTAGATTGGATTAGACCTGGTCTGTTCTTAACAAATTTATATTGGATTGGGTTGGATTAAGTCAATATCTGATCCATTGATATAAGATAAGAATATATGTGCCAATGGACCAAATTTGGGTTGAAACTATTCTAAATCAAAATGAATTTAAGTAGATTGGATGGTCCAAACATTGAATTAGACTGGTACAAATTAGTCCAAAACATTCATTGAATTGGATTGGACCTAGTCCATTTATAATGGATTCACATTGGACTGGATCAGATTGAACCAAATCCAATCTGATTGACACCCCTACCCCCGAAGTTTGCATGAGGACGAACTTGCCCCAATGGGTGTGGTATTTGTCCTCATATGGGGTCAAGGGTGAATATAATTATATAAGAATTGGTTGTGAATAGGCCATGTTTTATTTTTTATTTTTTTAATTTTATATAGAAAATACAAAACTATAAACGAATTAGAAAGTAAAGAAGAGTAGGTTGATGTGGACAACGACTACATTTTAGAATATAGTAATGGATTAGGAATTATGGTAAAGATGGTTGCTAATTATGAATTAGGTGCCCAAAAAAATGCTATGTTTTTTGTTAGAAAACAAAGCCATAGGAAAATATGAATTATTTCTTTGGAAGGAAAATCTGAAAATAGAAAAATGATAAAAAAACTCCAATTTAACAGTTGTAGCATTTAATTGGTAGGTGATATTTCCCTTAGATTTCTAAGGCAAATGCAGACATGATTATTCATTCTATTAATAAAATAGAATGCCAAGGAATTGCTGATCGCTTTGTTAGAGCACATTTGCTGCAGCCGTGGTCACATGTGATCCCAAAGAAATACAAATGGAAAATCTATGATGCGGGAAAAAGACATGATATCTAAAGAGTTTTGACCAATTAAAATCCACCTTTTGGATATTACAGTTAAACCCCAGCTTGTAATAACTGAAAATGTTGGTTGTAGTATAGAACCTGTGTTCAAATCCTGCCTTTATTAGGGTTGGAATGTTGGTATGTTAATATATTATTAAAAAAAGCAAAAAAAAATCAAAAGCTATTAGTTGTTGGGTCATTGATTAAGTCAATAAATTTAATATAATGGATTATGACCGGTTCACCAATCTAAAGAGGTTCTTTCTTTATGGGAAACCAGAGGACTTACACAAGACGGGGGTAGCTCTTCCCCACATATCAGCTAGACAAATGAGATCAAGACCACTCAAATTATAATTAGACAAGACTCCTTGGCACGTTAACTAGTCTGCGGCTTGAATTGCTTCACGGTAAACATATTTGAACATCAAATTATTCTCTAATCTCCACGGGAGGTTTAATTGGTAAATTGATCAATAAATCATTTGGAAAATTTAGGGCCTGTTTGGTTTGCGGGAATAGGGATCTGGAATCAAAATTATAATAGGTTATTTTGATTCCAAATGTTTGGTTGGGCGGAATCAAAATCCCATTTCCATTCTTGGTGGAATAGCATTCTTCCATTTGAGGAAATACCCCTCCCTTGGGAATGAAATCCTATTCCAACTTATATTTCAATTCCTGAATGAAACAGACTATAAAAATAAATCATTCCGATTACAACTGTAAACCAAACAGACCCTTAGAGTTCAACCCACTAGGTTTTTTATTTTATTTACCAACAACTCACAACCCCCTTGAATTTTGACTCACCAGAAATATAAGGCATTAAATAGACTTGACCTAAAACAATTAGCTCCACCAAAAGTTCAATAATTATGTATTTATGGCAGTTTGAAGTTTTTGATTGAAAATGAAGATTGCTTTCTAATTGGCCTGAACAAACAAATTAAACAGAAATATAACAATCGTACACGAACTATCGGAAGCTATATCTTTTGGTTTAGGGTTCAAACATTTTGTAGGCTCAGAGGCAGCAATTAAGAACACAAGACGAGATTTAAATAGGTGATTATTGCATAGTGTTTATTAAATAAGCAGTTTATGAATGTTTGGTGAAATAGCGCTTCTTTCAAATAGGGTAGTATAGGTATTTTGATAATTAGGTGACGGGTCAAGAAGGGTCATAAATGTAATAAGCATTTAAAAAAAAACACTTATTAAAAAGTCCTATATTTTTGAGCTCCTTCCAAAGGGACTATTCTATTGAAAGCATTAATTAGAGCTTTTAAGAAGTCTTTTCAACCCACTGTTGATTCGATCGGTTGAATTGTTCAAACCATCACTCAGTCAAGATTTCTGGTGTGGTTTGAGTAAAAGCCAAAGAAGGTAAAAAAATTACTTAACTCGAACAATTGGATCATTGACCCATTCGATCTAATGACCAAGTCACAAGTTGCATAATAAATGTGTATGCAAACTTTAGGAGGCCATAACTTTGCACTCCAATGTTTGATTGAGATTTTTTTTATTTTTTAATTTTGGGTAACTTTTCATGATATATGCGTCGTAAGGCGTCATAAGCGCCTTGCCCCATTTTTTTCCAAAAAAAAAACCATTTTTGCCTCAAATTGCAATTTTTAATATTTTTTACAAATAAAATTTTGAAAACTGAATTAAAAACATAAATTATATATATATATATATTTGAATTTTCATATGGCTGATGTGGCATGGTCTGATCGAATCGATCGAACAGGTGACACGTGACCTGGAGGCAAGAACAATTTGGCCTCCTCGTTGGTTTTTAAAATGTTGCCTATAAGTGCTTTTTTTGGGTAATTATAAAAAAAAATGCTTTTTTGGGTGATTTTAAAATCTTTTAATCCAAATAAGTGCTTAAA